TAACCTTATGCTTACTTATTTTAAATTACCATTTATTACTCAGAATGGGGTGTCTCCACCTGAAGGGAAATATGATAGTGACTTATTTTTTGGACTTTCATTCCATTCCTTGTCACGACTCTGCTGAAAAGCCTTTACTGCTGCCTTCCTTTCGAATCACTTGAATCCTAAAACTATATGTTTTACAATAAACTATGAGAATGAAACTGCGACTGTACTGAATTGTACTTTTCTTTTTCTCTGCTTAATCTTTGTCTCAGAATAGCAAAAACGCAGTCTTTTCTTATAATTACTTCTTATTTTCTTTAGCATCAATTTTAGCTCATTATAAATGCTCCTTCTTTATCTATTACCTTTAATTGCCTCTATAGCTGGTAGCAAAATGTTTCTTCGTCGCCGACCTGTCAATATTACTGATGCGAGCACCGAAGGGAAGAGTTTCAACGAAGAGGAAGACTTCAAGCCTATCGATACGACGACCTATGTTATTTCGGTATTCTCCCGCAACTTCTACCGCTTTAAGATGTGTGCTCTGGTGTTAGCCTTCCTCATTAATTTCATGCTACTTTTCTACAAGGTTAGTACCATATGGCCTACCATATCAGCCATGCTGATGAAGCCTTTTCTTTTTTTTATTTCCATTTCTCTATTTTATTTTATTTTGTTTCTCTTTACCTCGACTGCGCCTGCCCTATCTTTAGGACTAGTGTCTCTTTTTTATAAAATTTAACCGGTGATATTTTTAATAGGCGCATTATGGCGATCGTTTTTCGCATATTTTCAGTATTGCTATGCTATTCTTCTCTTCACGATCTCTGCTCAGGTTGCTCCTACATAGATTTGTTCCTTACATTATCTCACGATTAGAGCCTCGAAAGCAGGCGTTGATTGCAGAGTTGTTAATTTTGTCACTGAATTTTTAAGTTAATTGTATGCACTACTGTTATTGATGTAGTTAAGATTAACTTTGATACTTTACTAAACTGTTTTCTATAGCCTGTTTGTGCAACTATCCAATGTCGATTTGTTGGTAATGGCAAAACCCAATGCGAATCTAGTTACTTGGGCTGAAATTGTATGATCTTATAAAGCTGTGTGAAAACATATTCTAAACACAGTGAAGAATTCGCTCTTCCTGATTGTGCCTCTAGTCGACCTATTAGGCCTATTATTACTTCCTACCTTCAGATGATTTAGCCCATTCATTGCACCATTTGATTTATAATTTTTTAGGTTGAACACGGTTGGTCATATGAGGAAGAGACAGAAGGCGGAGTTGGCGATGGTGAAAGCAGTCTCGAAGAGGAGGATAACGAAAACATGAGAAATCCCCTCAAAACAGCACTAGCCAGCTCAATCTCAGGCATGGCAGATCGTCTCGCCGACAGTCTGGCCTCAATGAGTACCGGAATTGGTGAAGCCTCTGTTGACCCCGACGGCACGACAAGTGGCCTGTTGGCAGGTCTAGCAGGCCATTTCCGAGATCCTCTTGAGAGCAGTAAGCAAGAAG